CAAACTTAGAAATTGTAGGGCTGTGGGCCCACGAGTCCAAAAGGTGCATGTGCCTTTTTGCCTTGGGAGAATGCTAAAAAGACCCTATAAAGCAAAGAAACTTCAGTTTATTTTTGTCCAAACAACTATTTACCTGATGCTAACTCATTAAAAAGGATAAAATTAAATATGAAGTTGGTTCAAAGACAGAAAGCTGCTTTATTTCATATTTTCTCTACCTCCCTTATTTTTTTTTTGTTTGTGCTGTTTTACATTTTATATCGAATTTCCAACATTTTCCCCTTTCATTGGCTGAATAGTAAACTGAAGAAAGACGAGGTCATCTTAATGACGCTTCAGTTACACAAGGCAACACACGTTTTGACTGGCAAGCTCAGGACGCGATCCTGGCAGAAGGTCCATTTGCTTCTAGACACTGAAGGTAACTTAACATTTCCTGTGCTAATGCAGACTCTTTTTCTGGAAGGAGAAGTGATGCCAGAGTAATAAAAAATACAAAGATGCTTCTAAGAGTAATGACAATATCCATATTTGATGATAATTCTCAATACCGCCTCCCAACTCCATGTTATTAGGAGAAATCCTATTACAATCAGAGATAAGAAAGAAATGCCTTATTTATTGTCTTTGTGGCTCATTCTGTAGTAGCAGCGTGTGCATCTTGCTTTAAATTACAAAAACAGTTCAGGTGCAACTGGATACATTTTGCCTTACTAAAATTATTTTTGCCCAAACAGCTATTTACCTGATGATAACTCGTTAAAATAACACCTGCTAAGGAAGACGTTAGAGATAGGAGGGCAGAAGCCACCAAATTTAACCTCTTTCGAACTTAAAATGTGTCCTGAATAAGTTTATCTAAATATTATTCAGTAAAAACTGCCACTAGAAAAAAATCCCCTGGATAGTGAGACTGTAAATGCACAACTTTGTAAATAACTACAGTTCAATAGCCCTGACAAATGCTGTAGGTACATTCCCCCATGCTCCGGACGGAGCCCCTGTGCACGGTCTGCAGGGTAGAGAAGGTGAGGTCACTGCTAGGTTCTTGGGGATCAGGGAATCACTTATATTAAAAAAAAATTAGAAAGTATTTGGTGCATTGCTCTTATACAGGTGTTTCTGCAGTTCCTAATTTCACACAGTTTGAATGAAGGAAATATAAATACAAAGCATTCTCTCTACTTTTTGCTCCCTTTCATCTTGAAATAAAATGACTTGAAATTCAGCATTTACCTGGACTTCTCACTTTTTAAAAAAAAAATCATTTTTACAGCCATTCTTATGGGTAGGTCCATGTTGTGGTTTATTTATTCTGGTAAAGAGAGGATGTGTGGTCAAAACCCCTGTGATGAAGATTGGCTTGGTTACAGTAAGAAAATCAGATGTGATTTTCTCTGAATAAGGAAGTCCTCATGTCAGGTTTAGCCAGAATTGTGTGAAAGTGAATTGATCATGACTGACCACCTGACTTACAAAGAATGGAAAAGCCCAGAATTAGTTTTTACAAAAAGAAGGGGCACCACAAAATAGAGATGGTGACTAACCTGGCTCCAGTTAGCACGAGTAAAATATCAGTAATGTATTTCCTCACATAAAAACACATCTAAATACAATGCCAGCCGGAACCCAAAATCAAAGGACTTGAGTATTGTCCTCTCGTGTTTAAGTTCCTCCACAGCAAAATTAACTAATGAATTAAATTTTTTTTAAATAGGCTAATGAAGGAGAAATGTTTTTTCTTAGGTTTTTCTTTTTCCTTTTTTTTCTTCTTGGAAAACCTGTTCAGCTGTTCCCAGATTTAGTTTTAGACTTTTCACTTTGCTTCCAAAGAGATGTGTAAGACAGGAAAACTAAACTGAACATTTTTAAATGCACAGCTCACATTCTTGGGAAAAGTGGCTGTGAAAAACAGATACCAAATCAGACTTAAAGTCGAAGAAGTGGGGGGGGGGGGGGATTGGAAAAAAAAAAGCCCAAAACATCGCATGATAGTCTCTAAGCAGTTCCATCTGTCAAGCAGAAATTTTAGGCTAATAGCCTGTGGCGATCTCCCTCCGCAGTCCACTACCTGCCTTTGTCCTATTAAATCTCTTTATTCTCCTTAAAAAAAAAAAAAAGAGGGGGGATTGGTTGTTGGAAGGAAAGGAAAAACCTTGCAGACCAAAATCATCTGAGTGATGAAGCCCTAATTTTAACCGCCTCTTTGATGTGTAGCGGTGGGGTTTTGTTTTTTAAGAAGGAGAGAGGAGACAGTGCTAGGAGCAGAAGACTTTTCATCTCCACTTCACCTTGCCACTGGGTCTGTGAGAGATTGGTTCATTGTCAAGGAGATTTTTTTTTTTACCCATGATTCCATATGGTATGGACCGGACTACATGTTGCCCCACATGCCACTGCAAATGTTTTCTCAATTAGGTGTCTTATCTCCCGTGAGTTAGCATCAGATGAAGCTTGCTGACAGCGTAATGGCAGGGAAAGCTTCCGACGGCTCCATCAAATGGCAGCTCTGCTACGACATCTCGGCCAGAACTTGGTGGATGGTGAGTTGGCAGCCGGGGCTGCTTTTTTTTTTTTTTTTTTCCCCTTTTCTACTTTCCCTCCCTCTTTGACAAAATGTCCCAGACCTCACATTCATCAAATTCACATTTGATTTTTTTCACACTCTTCAGTGAGGCGGCCTCACACTGCTTCCTCTTGCCATCCTCTCTCTGCCACTCTGCGACTTGAGTTCCCAGGCATACTTGCCCTGAATTTCCATGGGACAGTGTTTGGGAGTTGTTGTTTATGTGGCTTTTGGTTTGTTTGTTTTTTGTTTTAAAAAAGAGCATCAGAAGTGTTAAGGTGGAGGTGGGTATTATAGTCAAACTGGTCTTGGGGTAAAAGAAAATAAAATGAAGCATTTGTCCTGGCCCTCGGGTTTTGCTCTCTCTCTCCAGCTTCACATCCCCTTTACTTTTGTTTTCAGGGACTATGCGGTGCATGGTTTCCCGTGGCTGTGGTATTTGCTGAGGACGCGTGTGGGGCGCTGGGTAGAAGCAAGCCCTGGGGGAATTTGGGTCCTGTCCCATTAGTTGGATTGCCTGAGGTCACCTGTGAGAGAACTCGGGGTTCCCCACTGTTTTCCATCCGGGGACCCTTTGCTGTCACCTAACTTTTCCCCGTTTGTTTATATCAGAGCAGGTCTTACGTCTCTTAGGAACTCTAGCTCTGAGTGGAAAAGACCCATGCATTCTATCTTCTAGTTATTCTGGGTACAAATAAAGTTTTAATAAAGTTCTAGCATGCGGCCACAGAAGGAGTTAACTCACATGTCATGGTCAACCAGGCCAGACAACCTTTGACATCTTGGATCTATAAGAGGTAGAGTGAGTTGGGAGGATGCACAATAGCTTATTGTCACGGGAGATGCAAGTCCCGTGAGGAGGAGAGTCCTCAAATCATTACCGCCCTCGTTAGGGTGGTGTCCGTTAAGGATTAATTTGTTCGCGGTGCATTTCTAGTTTTCTGTAATTATTATTCTTGCGGCAAGCATGAATTCTTCCAGGGACTGAAAAAAAAGTTCGCTGCCAGGACAATGAATGTATTATCCGTTCCTAACTGGACCGTGAACTTCAGCTCATTTCACATAGATATCAGTTTAAGAAGAAAAAAAAGAGAGAGAGAGAGAGTGGTGTTGAAGGGGGAGAGTAGCGAATGGAATTACAAGACAGGACTTGGTCAGTTTCACTGTATGATCTGCGGAAAGAGTTCTTTCCCCTTCTGGACCAATGGTGGTATCATTTTGGCAAGTTTTAGGAACTCTGAGGACTGAGAAACTATTAAAAGTGAGCTACCTCGGGATTCTGTTCGGCTGCTTCTTGGGGTGCAGTGTGTCCATCCTAAGGACTCTTGAGTTAAGGTGGTCATGGGTATGTTGTACATGTGTGTTTTAACTTGTCATTTCTTAACTAGACTTTACTGGTGGTTTCAGGACAATGCTACTTTCAGCTTTTGGTTCATTCGACTAGCAGTAGCCTCGCCACTTAGATCTGAACTTTTTATTCAGGGCACTCATTTTCCAAGTAGAGTTTCTGCCAGCGACAGCAAGGTTTACTTGTATGCTGTGATGTTGCCTATTACTTTGTCTTATGTAGCTTGTTAAACACTAGAAATGAATACACTGATTGGTTTAGCTATTATTTTCTAAGCTAAGTTATAAGCTTTAAAAAAAACTGCATGCTGATGTCATATTCTGGGCGACATTCTACTTCCTTGTATTTCAAGAGCTCATAGATTTTATAGCCTGTTACTTTTTTATGGTAAACCGTGTCATTTTTTTTTTCTTGCAAAGATCACCAAATGCTCCTCATTTTTTAACTTGAAACACCATCGTTACTTTTTGGTAAAGTGTACTTGGAAGTTCCTTTTCATTTAAAAGTATTTTACAGATGTTTTACCACCGGGAACATAAAACATAAAAGTGGTGGAAACATTTCGCAATGCAGTTGACTAAAAATAAACAATGCTGTGAGCTCACATGCTGCTGTTTAGGCTGCATACTACAGGAAGTTTCTCTCAACTTCAGTGCCTCTAGATCTTTGCTTTGAAAGAGGGTGAGAAATCAGAGTGCTCTTTAGAGAAGTTGTAGAAGTTCCCATGGAGAATAAATCAATTTTCTCTTTCTCTCAAAGGTGACCACATAGCACAGTGCTTTAGATCTGCCAGTTACAAATAATTCTAATGCAAACGTCCCATTATTGATGGGAAATTGAGGGCTTTGATGAAGGGGAGGGGGATTAATTTTAAAAAGACAGATTTCACATTTCTCTTAGCTCTTCCCTTTCCCTAGAATAGCATTCACTCCCTCTCCCTTCATAACTCCACCTTGCTACTCAAAACAACTTTCTCCAACTAAAAAGAACAATTTAAACTTGTCCCTGAATGATAGGGTTTTTTTAACCAAAGGATAGCACAAGTTCTGAGTTTCACGCTAAAGGCAAAGAAAGCTTTAAAATTACCTCATGCGTCATCTGGCTGCACAGACTCCGGCTGCAGAGTGGGAGCCTCCGGCTTGTCCTCCCGGCATACAAAGGCAACTCAGTGAATGCCCCTCCGCCCGGAGGCTCTCGGCCTCAGCTGCCAGCACCAGGACATGCAATTTTGCTTTTTAATGAATCGTAAACAATTTGTATGGCAAATGAGTTTGTTTGTTTTAGTTTGGGGGGCATATGTTGGACCAGGTTGTAGACAGCCATTACCTACTCCAAGATTTTAGGTGAGAACGGATAGAGCCCCAGATCACTTTTATTTCTCTAAAATATAAAGGCCCGCTAGAATGAAAGAAACTGGTTAATAAAAGGCTGAGTATAACAACCCCTCTTCTCTTTCCCTTCACTCCCTGTCCCCCTCTCTATCCCCACCCCCTCTCATAATGCATGGGGGCTTACAGTAGGGGTTTAACTGCACTTTTTGATAACTAAGTGGAGGTCAGTTGACTAAATTAATTGAGGAATTTTTAAAGTATAAATTTTAGCTTTGTCTTTAAAAGGCTACTTTTGTTTAAGAAACAATTGTTTTAAAATGTGAAATACTAAGCAGAGCCTTCTATATCTTCTATGGCATTTTTTTTCCTTCGGTTGAAGCTAATGTTGTTCTTAGGGACATAGGTTATAAAATATGTTAAGCACACTTTTGATATCAAAATGGAGCGAGAAAGGGGTCTTGATATCCAAAAGTCCAATAAAAACTTCTATTCCAACCCTTGGAGTTATAAACAACTTAGACGTTAACAAGCGACCAGGGTTCGAGCATGCACATTTTAACAGTAATTACCTTTGGCGCTGCCACTTATGAGAAATCTTTTGATATCTGAGCCACCTCTCTATAATGCTTTAATCATGCAAATCAAGGAATAGATATTACGTATCAACTTCATCTAACTATGTTGTGACATCTCTATTTGAAACCTTCCGACATAAAGCTAAAGAAAACCCTCATGAAATTTCCCTCCATGCCAAATGCAATGGAAGGACCCTGGGTCATTATATGCTTCAGAATATAATTCTGTTCAGTGGCATTACCTTCATTCTGCCCACATGGCATGAAAATGAAGGCAGAATAAGCATTCTCCTCTTCTTAATAATTTTCTGATAACAGGGTATCACAGGACTATTTTTATGTGAATTACAAAATTCACTTGTCTTGCTTCTGTGATCCAATTTAAAAATGTATAATGACTATGAAAGAAAGGCTCTTAAACTATCCTGCCACCCCCCTCACCCCATGCTATGTTCCCAGGCACTTATTTTAGAAGAATTCTCTTTAGAAATCGCCATACAATTTTTCAATCAATAAGTATTCATCACTTAATCCAAATTTTTCCAACTCAGACTTCATATACCAGAAAAGTATTTGGGCAGAAAGGATATGCTATGCCTGATAACATAAATGCCTTTTAAATGTAGATAGATAGATGCATATATGTATAAATTAGCAAAGTACTTCTGTAAAGTAGTCTTACTGTGTTTAACAATTAAAAAAACAAAACAAAAAAAAACCTCTCAACTCTAGTCTACTTCCCAAATGATTGGCAGCCCTAAATGCTGCAGACACAAACTAAGAACTCATATTTCATGCAAACCTTTTGTTGTTGTTATTTGCTTGGATTCATACCTTGAACTGTATTTACCACTTCAATTTTAAAATGTTAATTCTCAACTGAACAACTTTTGTTAGTGATTATCTTCCATACTCCTTTGAGGGCATTCTAATAAAGATTTTTCTGAGCACTTGTGCTAGCTCTTTTATGATGGTGATTAAAATTACTTGGAAATTGTACAGTAGCTATAAATGAAAAGAATCAAAATGAGGGAATTCTGTAAATAATAAATCCTATCATATTCTCAGCACCCAGTATACTTTCAAAAGAAAGTGTCCATGATAAACATATTTATACACATTCTATTTCAAGCATTTGCACACTTTACCTGTGCTTATTTTTGAATGCACTGTTGTCTTATTTTTATCTACCATTATAAATATGCATGACTATATTACTTTCTAAGAATATGCATTAATTTCAAAAGTTTCTGTATACTCCACACATTATTTTGTCACAGTATTAACAATTTTCCATTTCAGGCAAAATCTGAATGAAGTGGCTTTTTTATTTTCTCCTACATACATTAAGAAATTATCCTTATCATTTTCTTCTAGGTTAGCCTTATACATCTTTAAAGTATCATTTACTGTACTTAGAGAGAAGCAAGTACATTAAACTATGTTTCTGGGGTTTTTTTCTTTAAATCAAATTATGATCTAAATGTACTTCATTCAGAAATGTGATTGGTTACTTAAGCTAGCCTATGTAGTTCTACTATCTTTTTAAAAATCTTGACTTCCTGTTATTACACTCATATTTCTCCTGTGAACTTTAGACAGTAAAATAAATGCTTTGTCCTTATTTTCTAGTAGATTTTCCTTCACCTGTCCTGAATATTGTCAGGAATGTTTCTAATTTAAAACCCAAAGAATCAGGGGCTGATTAGAAGACAGGAAATTGGAGGATTAAACTGTCTGGTTGAACTTCCTTTACTTATCAGCACTCAGTAACTTACACTGGATTACAAACTCAGCAGGACAATTTCTGCAATGCATTGTTCCTTCTGGATGTTTACATATACACAATGCACGTGAGAGAGTGTGTATGTGTGTATGTGTGCATGTGTGTGCGTATGCATGTGCACACACATGTGTCTATCTGTGTGTGTGTGTGTGCACTGATGAGTATGAACGAACCAGCAGCTGGTAGTTATAAGTAGATGTTTTAAGTGGGATCATTTTAAACCAAAGGGGCTTATACTATGAACATGAAAGTTTATTCAAAGACTATAATCCCAGGATATTCTCAAAACTTTCTTATTAAAACCGTTCTGGGGAAACAAGCAAATAATGAAATACTATAAGGGAAAAAGCAAGATGCATTATTTGGAAAATGCAAAATAGGTGGCAGTAGCCCTTATGTTCATCTCCCCTCAGTTCCACTCGGAATTCCAAATACCCATAGTACTGAGTGAGTAGAGACCCACCAGGAGTGAGGGAGTTCATTTAAGAGGTTTCCAAAGCCATTTTGAGATCCCCTTGGCACCAACTGCGAAAGGAATCTTTCGTGCTGTGGCAGCAGGTCTGAATGGGCCAGGTGAGCAGGAATTGTGAAATGAGGGCTTGGCAGGGAATGAAAGAGCAAATCAGGACAGGAGGGAGAGGGTTCACCGTATGCCATGAGGTCACTTAAATCTGAAAATAACTAATAAATACAAGCCACTGCCCTAGATTTTTACCATGTCAGATATATTTGCAGAGCTGTGTTCTCAAAAACATGCTGAGAACTCTTGTTCCTGACTTCACTCTGCTCACCTGCCTTGCCCTCAATAAGTGTTTGTTAATTTGGCTTAAGAGAGCTCTAGAATAATATGGAACTGTTTTCGTTTTGCCTCTTATTGGAATGGTGCGTTCTACAGAGAGAAATAGGAGATGAGCACCCTAACTGGTTTGGCTCAGTGGATAGAGCGTTGGCCTGCGGACTCAAGGGTCCCAGGTTCGATTCCGGTCAAGGGCATGTACCTTGGTTTTGGGCACATCCCCAGTAGGGAGTGTGCAGGAGGCAACTGATCGATGTTTCTCTCTCATCGATGTTTCTAACTCTCTATCCCTCTCCCTTCCTCTCTGTAAAAAATCAATAAAATATTTTTTTTAAAAAAATAGGAGATGAGGAAAAGTGACATGTATAACCTGGGAAATGAGTTGGGTTAGTTAGCCTGATGGGTCTGGGAGTCAGCATCCAGGAGCTTGCTCTGGCAGTCCTTCACTCACTCACCAAATACGTACCGGGGGGAGAATCAAGTTGCTGCTTCTGCCAGCTGCCGTCAGTCAACCTTTAAAAGCACTAGGGACCAACCTCTCTGCACCTGACTGACTATTTCATCCTAACAGCCAACACTGACTGAACACAAACTATCTCCTAGAATCTGTCCTAGGTGCTCTACATACTTTATTTTCATTTAATTCTCATTAAAAAAAAACACATATGAAGTAAGCATTATTGACCCACTTTATGTACAAGGCAACCAAGCATTGGAAAAGGTTGCAGGCTGTCCAAAGACGAGCACACACCTAGAATGGGCTGCTCAGGCTGCAGTGTCCACTGGCTTCATCTTGGACCAAACTTGTCATAAATGAATTGGTTCTCTCAGCATTAGGATGTAATGGTATTCAGAATTTTGCAGGATTAGGACTATCCATTTGTCTGATGGTGTGTGATGGGGGAGGGTGGAGAGCACAAAGCGATTTGCTAAGAAAATAGAGGCAGAAAAATTATTATGTGTCAAAGGCAAGGTAGGACAGTGATGTTGTGCTGCCCAGTCCCTGTCCTGGAAAAATTGTGCATAAAAAAGGTCCCTATTATGCAATAGAAACATCTAGTCTCATCGCTGACCAAAGAAACTCCTGCGAGATGTGAGCAAGTCTGATGCAAAGAATGCACCTCGTCATATTAAAACCCCCCTTTTCATCAGAAAGTGGATGGCTCAGGCACACCCAGTGTGTTTTTTAAGTTCTTGCTGGATAGTTTTTCTCTAAGTAATTTAATCTCTATTTAGCAAATACTTCACTTGTAGTTTTAAATGGAACATACCATTTTAAAAAGCCATCCTTCCAAAAAAAGACAAAAGACTCCTGCTGTCTCTCTCTCTCTCTCTCTCTCTCTCTCTCTCTCATGCCAATATAGAACAATATCACTGTTTACTATTTTCTATTGCCACAGGAATGGCTAATTGAAGGTTTATTTCAACATAGTTTTCTTCCTAGAAAAGCACAATGCAGGATATATATTGCCTAATGGCAAAGGTCTTAATACACTCACTACAAGTAAACATCCATTTTCCAGACAACTGCTGACTATAAACAATATGTCTCAGCCAGAGCCCTTTAATGGTGCCACATGTTGGACAGATTTTTATTCCTCATAATCCAAGTTCCTCTTGTGATCGTTGATGCACACATGCTATTGCCCTGCTGACTGTTTGAAATGGATAATAATTGGGAAGAATGACCAGGGCAGAGGTGGGGATGCATAATCCTGGGCAGAGCAGCCCTCCACAATGTTGCAGTGCATGGGGGCGGGGACTCACTGGGAAAGAGGCGCCTGTAAGCTGAATTGAACACTCAACAAATGCTGCTGACTTTTCTCACGTTCGTGGATACCACATTATATGCTCCATCTCCCCACATGACCTAGGTGTAGGCAAAGTTAATAGCCATCTAGGGTATGAGAACACTCTGTTCTCAAGATGGTCCCATCTGTGTACACCCCGCCCCCAAAATGTTCTTCATCCAGGCTCTCCTTCACAGCTGTTTGACTTTTAGTCCTGCTGAGGAAATGCCCTTGGCAGCTGGGTTTGGTAAGCGCCCTTCAAATTTTGATGAGATAAACATTGTGGGCTAAATAATTGATTTCATCCACTCATTTAAGATTCAGTGAAAATGATCACAAATTGTTTTGTTGTATTTTATTTTAGGAAAACCAGCAACCT